CCATTTTGTGTACTAGTCTCGATCGCAAAATACTGGGTTTTTTGTTTCCAATTATTGTTGGTGTTAATATTCATGACTTCAAAGAGATGGAAACCTAAATGGGTGAGTCAACATTTTCCTTTTTTTCGGTATATAAAATATATATTGACTGCTTTTAATATTCGAGGCATAGTTGTTTCTATAGGGTCTCGGGAAACTCACAACCTGCTATGACCCCGCGGCGCAAGCGCCTTGGGGTCATAGCAGGTTGTGAGTTTCCCTTGACCCTATAGAAACCACTATGCCTCTCAAAGCAGTCAATATATCCTTATTATAAACTATGACCATAAATCAAAAGTGAAGAAAATGATAATGAGATATATTGTATAAAAAAAATACTGATGGAACAGGGAGAGAAAGGGTAAATTTATTAAAATAGGAGAAAGGTTTTTAGCGATTACTGTAATAAGAGAGAGAGAGAGAGAGAGAGAGGGGGTGGATGAGTGAGGAGAGATGTAAAATAGAAGAGAGGTACATGTATAGAGAGAAAGAGGGACAGATATATAGAGAGAAGGAGATAGAGAGAAGAAGAGAGAGAGAGAGAGAGAGAGAGAGAACGGCGCCACAATATTTTGATAAGAAGTGAGAGGAAGATTGTCGGACAATATTATTCGACGGCAGGAAATTTTCAAAAAAAGCCAGTCATAAAGGAAGAAAAGAAGAAGTAGAATTTTTTTAAATACAAACTTTGTTGGAGACGTAATAAAACGAGCCTGATATGTACAAGTTACTAGAAGTAACCTTGTAATAATGCATTATAACTTTTTGTTTATTAAATTGTTCCCTATACCATGCATTATAGCTTTTTGTTTATTATTGTTCACTACAGGTTCTGTGTGTATTAGCTCAGTTATGTGGGGGGGGGGGGACTAGATCGTACACAACGAGAGTAAATTTATCATTTAAAATTTCATTTTTTTTTTAAGTCTCTGAATCAGGTAAACTAGCAAAATTAATGTGAGTGAAATAAATCCTGCTTCCATTGATTTGTTTGTGTTCATTATGAAGCAGTGCCGCAGAGAATTCGCGACTCGGTCCCACATAGGTTTGAAGCCATGACTGCCTATTACTTTGGTATTGTTTTTAATGTAGACTATTTAAAGTCCCCGCTTAAAGTCCTTTGTACCTGTTTCCCGTTGAGGAAGACCCTGTCCTCGTATTCGACGAGCACGACACATCGACCGTCATCGGCCTCGCACAGAGTCAGGTCGAAGCTGCCAAAGTCTTTGCTGTACGGCAAGGCCGGCGAAACGACGGCGGCGACCTCACGAGCGTCGCAACGAGGCGATGATTGAAGGGTTCCAGTGGGAGTGTCTTTTCTTCTCTCGCTTGATTTTGGAAGTGTGTGGCTGATGAGAAAGGTGTGGACAAAAGGAAGATTTTGTTTAATCGGTCATAGCTGGATGGGGAGTAGGGCTGATTCTGACATTGGCCGAGCCATTCTGCAGTTTTATCACAAGATCTCTTTACACTTTACTTCCGTATTTCATTCTTTTCGTGTTTCTTATCTAAAGACTTTTCCTGACAGTGCTACTGTTTTCTCGATAACATGTGCCCACGCAAAGTTCTTCGCCAAGCAGAGGAAATCAAAAAGAAAAATAAGTAGAAGAAGAAGAAGTTGAAGACAATAGCTTCAATGGTATCTTGATTCATATTTCGTGGGGATTGTGTCTTGGCTACAATGATTTACTCCAAATTGAGAGATTTTCACTTGGTCACAAAACGTAATCAAGGCCTAGCAAGCGAATTAGTAATTTGGGTTCTAATGCCTTCTTCATCACTTTTATCATCATCATTATCAGGAGATTTAATATCGTCATCTTCAAAATCACTAACTTCATTACAATGCCGACTCTCATGCCTTATTTTTTATTATCACTGTAAGTAACCGTGATAGACCCTTTCATAATTATCACCATCGTCACCACCATCGTCATCCTCAACATCGTCAGTCAGTCATCACAAGTACACCACAGACTTCATCATGCAAAACCTCCATTATCACTTACATCACCATAATTAACACCATGACTGTCGTTTCTAAAAGCATCGTCAGCTTCATCCTAAACGCGGATGACCAACAAGTCTAAATCTACGTTAGATACATGTAACCCTCGAGACAATGATTTTTGAAGAGGGGAGGGGGTGGTGAAGGCTAAGGACGCTTAGATTTAAAGCTGTCACCTTTGCATTGGAATTTATCGAAACATATGCAGCAAAGAGAACTCACCACCTTACCATAAATATTTGTAATTAATCATAGTCTATAGTCTAGGAGTATATAGACTCTAGTCATTTCGCCTACAAGATTTGGCGACCTTTGGTCCATTTTTTCATAATTTCTTACCCAATTTGAAAGAAAATTACGTCAACTAGGGAAACTTTAAATTCCTCTTTTCATTGGTGATATCATCAGTTTTCTAAATATTACCACCTGTTTGACAGACGGGAACTGTCCGCGAATTAAGAAGATGCGCGAACTATGGTCATACCACGGTACTTCTTGATGAAAAATCCAAGGCAAAAGTGCCAGTAGTCTATCTACTTCTACTTCTACGACGATACTCAGCAGGATCCATAAGTCAGGATGTAGTGCTGAGGAATAAACTATCTACCCAGACGTTGTACGTCCGCTTGATTTAAAACAGCAATATTAAAGAAGTTTACAACTAGCTTCTACTTCTACTTCTACTTCTACGACGATACTCAGCAGGATCCATAAGTCAGGATGTAGTGCTTGAGGAATAAACTATCTAGTTCTTGGTCTAGATGCTTGGTGGAAGCGCTCCCTTGAAGCCCTCCAGTGAAGTAGCGTCAAGGGTGATCTTTGAAAGTGCATTCCACGCAGTTACTGTCCGATGGAAAAATGAGTTCTGGTAGGTCTAGGCCTACAACAAGTAAATTTCAATAATCTTCTAACATTTATAACTTATTGTGCAGTATTATAAAGGACAAGTAGACCTATTCATGCTATTTGTTGAATATTTTTAGTTGAATCCGAAGGCAAAGGAGAAGTCTTTATGCTTATTAGTGTCCGGATACCCAACCCCGTCACATGTTTTGTAAGGTGTCCGGACACTCACACACCACCTCCCCCGTCCTGTTTATAATTGATTCTTTGAGCCTATGCTATAAATTAAAACATCCATATTTAAATCATTGCCACCCTACTTAGGCCTACCTATTGCGAGTAGGAGAGGAAAAGCCCTTCTGATCCTCCACCCGGTTTGACCGTTTCTTGGATCGCGATGGAGACGGTCTGTTTTCCTTGCTCGGCGATGCCTCGTCATCCAGCTGGAATGCGGCACTTCGACATCCAAATTTACCGCTTCTCTCCGGCGAAGTTTTATCACTGTCCAGGGTTTCGCGACTTAAACGGCGTCGAATCCGTGACGGCGAAAATGGATTCTGCAATGGCATTTTTAAAGCTGTAAATCAAGCTCGATTATTAGGCAGTTTTGGGTATCTAGTCTCTTTGCTGCTAGTGCTAGCATCCTTGCTGAGAGATGCGTTGCTGTAGTAACCTGTTTCTGCGCAAGTATTTATATAAGGTGCGCATAGTGTGACGTCACAGTTATCTACGCGCTCGACGTCATTACTTTCTGCTCAAAATAAGACGACGCAGACGTTTAGGTTGCATGCCGCGTAGAGCTAGTGAATTCATGGCAATTGCATTTAAGGGAATGAAATAAAACGTTTTTATTTTGGGTGCACGTGCTAAAAAAAATTGACGTCACCATCCCCACGAAAAAAAATCTAAAGACAGAGAGAGAGAGAGAGTGAGAGAAGAAGAAGAATAAGAAGAAAAGAGAGAGAGAGAGAGAGAGAGGAGGGGGGGGGGGGAAGGAAAGACAGAAACCAACGGAAAAGAGTTGCGCGTAACTGTGGCTGGTTTTAATAATTCACGCGCTTAATTTTTGCGCGCTGGGATGACAGATATATACACGTGGGCGCGGCGGCTATATTCCCCATCTTTCCTTTGTTACCGTAATGCATAAATTCGGACTAGGCCTAGATCTATTCATATTTCATATCACATTTTGAATACTTTAAAAGTTTGGAGTGATTCCTCAGCCATGTTTGCGAGTGTTTGGCTCGGTGGTAAGTTGATTATTAAATTGATTTGTAGAGTACGGTTGTTTGTCGGCGAGCATTAGACCTAAATGATGTTTGTTGCGAATGCCATTGCCGTTTGCAATTTTTTACATAGATCGAGCCATAGGCCTTCACCTTAACAAATAAATATCCATGGAAAATTGTGTAGTTAATAAGGCCTAGATCTACTAAGCAACATGTATTTACTTTCCCACATGTCGTTCACTATCGGATTGGAAGAAACTGCCACCCCCCCCCCCCCCCCATGTCCCTGTAGGCCCTATAGGCCCTAGTAACTTTTTTTTTGAATATTTGATGAGGTAATCCCTGAAGCAGCTTTTCCAAGCTATACTGGGATGGGATGCGTTGTGACAGCAGGTGAAGGTGCAGACAACAAAAGGGTGTACAATTGCTTTATACAATAAAATAGTGACGTGCAAGTAAAAAGTAATGCTGCTAAATGGTTTACAGCATTCTGGAACCTACAGGAGGTTCCAACCCTTTGATGACAGGGAGGGCGGTCATCTGGAAAGCAGCAACTATTGTGTTGGGGCAGTAACTGCAGTGGCTGGTACTGGTAGTGGTAGTTGATTATAGATGCGAATGGTGCGGGGGTAAAACGAGTACTTGTAGGAGTCTATTGTTGTCTCAGGAACAGAGAGCTTGAGTGTGTGGTCTCTTCTGCTGATGTATGTAGCTCTGGTTATGAGGTGAGGAAGACAAATATTGATTAACCCACCTATAATATAATTATGTAGGTTTATTATAGCCTAGTCTAGATCTAAACTTAATTTTGTAGGTCTAATCAGAATTTTTAATTTTGGTAGGCCCTATTGAATTTTATATTCTTTTTACTCAAATTTGTTATTTGAATGTTTATTCGTTTAAAAGAAAGTGAGACTAAAAAGTGTAAATGTCAATGATTTGAAGTTATAATATAGACTAGACTCTAGACCTCTATTCTCATTTAGGCTTTCCGATAGAACGAAAAAGTATATAGTAATTCTTTCCCCACTCTCTCTCTCTCTCTCTCTCTCTTCCTCTTTGTTCTATTCAGGAACCGATTACCAACTCATCAACCTCAACTGCATGCTGGTAAATGTGATGGATCTTCTCCGCAAGAAATGCAGTATCGACGACGAAGATGGTAGGAATGGATTTTCACAACATACGTGGGGCGATGATAGCAGTGAGGTCGGGCTTGCAAATGAATTAAAGAGATTTATATTTTACATTATGTGTTACATAGTTGTTATAGTCTAGTGTCTCTAGCCCTTTAAAAAAACTGTTGATAGACTAATTGCATTAAAAAATGATGCATTGAAAACCACTGGTATCAAACCTTTAAAAAATATACCAATCTACCTCTAAATTTGTTTTTAACCATGCCAAAGGTTTTAAAATCATTCTCAAGAACATTGTACAGTATTAATGCCTTCGCTACGGGCTTACTTACAAGTTCAGCATTTTTAGTAGCACATTGATCAATTGATAAAATAGCAGCATTTAAACACTGTTTCCTTTAATTTTTCAAGTTTCGTTAGATTTAGCAGATGAGGAAGGAATGTTGAAGTGCCTGCCAGACTACAATGTCAGGGTAAACACAAAACACTTGCTGAAACCGCGATCTACCTATGTCCCGATCAAGATGGAACGTAAGGCTTTTGACTCAGCATACCAATAATGTTCATCTCTATTTTTTCCAGTCACACCGACGATAGAACGACACAAGACCGACGATAGAACGACACCAAACAGACGATAGACCGACACCAGACCGACGATAGACTGAAATCAGACCGACGATAGACCAACACCAGACCGACGATAGACCGACACCAGACCGACGATAGACTGAAATCAGACCGACGATAGACCGACACCAGACCGACGATAGACTGAAATCAGACCGACGATAGACCGACACCAGACCGACGATAGAACGACACCAGACCGACGATAGACCGGCAATAGACCGACACCAGACCGACGATAGAACGACATCAGACCGACAATAGACCGACATCAGACCGACGATAGACTGAAATCAGACCGACGATAGAACGACACCAGACCGACGATAGACCGACACCAGACCGAAGATAGACTGAAATCAGACCGACAATAGAACGACATCAGACCGACGATAGAACGACATCAGACCGACAATAGACCGACATCAGACCGACAATAGACTGAAATCAGACCGACGATAGACGGACACTAGACCGACGATAGACCGACACCAGACCGACATCCGACCGACGATAGACCGACACCAGACCGACGATAGACCGAACAAACTTTCACATTACCCCCCGGCCGAATGACCGATAATCGGTCGATTTGGAGACGATGTGGATTCGGCTATGTTTGTGCGACTCGGGTATCGGGTTTCTTGCACGAACATGATCGCGAAGGCTTTCTAGAAATCAGCTCAAGGCCATTCAATGCCCTATTACATATCATACAGTAAATTTCTGGGGGGTCTTTCACAAAGATGCTAAGTTGAACCTTTCTCTAAGTTGGACTTAACAATTATGGAATGCCATTAGCATCATTGAAAATATTTTGTAAAAGTTATTTCAAAAAGCAAAATGTTGATTCAAATCATTCATATTTTCTATTATCAAGGAGATTTCATGTTCTTGATGTGGAATTTATGAAAAGTCTATAATACTTCAATTTTTGCTTTTGAAAATATTAAATTTTAAGGCTACAAATGGCTCTCCATAACTTTTAAGTCCAACTTAGAGTTAAGTTTAACTTAGGATTTTTGTGAAACACCCCCCAGGTTACATAATATGACATTGTAATGTTAGCACATTTCGATAGTTAGATGATGGACGAGGGTATTGAACTTGTCTTAGGTTGATTTCGAAGATCTTTGCAAAGTGTTTAATGTAAACCCATTTACTGTTTGGTACAACCGCTTGATAGTTTTCTTTAGGGAAACAAAACAAAAACGAAATTCAACTTTCCTTGATAACTATGAACGAGGTTGTCAAGTATTGTCTAAACTGCTTAAAAATATTGGAAAAGATCGTTAAAAAGAGATAATCCGTAATTATATACAATATTTTTTTTTTTTTTTTTGCCCCCCCCCCCCCCCCCCCCCTGCGTTTCGTAACCGCACCATTGTAGGAAATACCCAAATTACCAGCAAACACAATTTTAAAGAGAAAGATATCACTAGGATTTTGTTAACATAATTATAAGCCTAAATTGATAACATAACACTTGGTGACGATTTTTTTATTTTACCACTAAAACAATGTCGAATACTATATCTAGTTAATTTAATTTTCATTGGCTAGATATCAAACTTCTTTCAGATGATACCGGCTAATTATAACAATTGAAGTTGATGCAAAGCTTATCAATCTGAATAAAGCTCCTTGTTTCTTGAAAAAGAGCTATCACGATTGGAGGCTTTCCGTAACAGCCATATTGAAAATGCTGCTGACATTTTCTTTCGTCAAAAGAGCCTGCCCATGGGGCGTTTAGAGGAATTAACGAATAATAAAGGAAATGGAAAGAACAGGAAAGATGGTAATAAAATCAAGTTCATTCCTCTAAATATCCCAGAGGCAGGTTCTTTTGTCTGAAGCATATATCTTCAGCCTTTCAATATAGCTTGAAATTGAATATTAACTCACCAAGTAAAAATACAGACGTCTAAAACAAGCTACAGTGCAAATCCATGATCAGGTAATTTGGGTTTTGTCTCCTCTGATTTTCCCACAATGTTTCAACTATAAGTTTACTGTGTTTTGCAGGTGATGAGAACGATGTGGCCAAACCTTATGAACCTTTTGTGAAGCAACTGAAGGAGAATACTGAGTTTATGAGTAAGTACATGTACATGTGTAACCTATTCAGTAACACTTTCTACTCCACCCTGATATTAAGTTGGTTTAATAGAAGCAGAACAATGAGAGGAACTGGTCTGTGAAAGTTTGGGTCAAATCCGATTAAATTTTTGAAGTTGCGATTAATCAAACACAAATGGCAACTCTGGAGGTTATGACATTTTCTGTACGGAGTAATTATTGGGAGTGCATGTCCCCCCCCCCCCCCCACGCAAGACACACGTCGCAGAGTTGTCAATCGGTTATTGTGTTTGATTGATCACAACTTCAACAATTCATAACTTTCTTGTTTTAAATGGGATTTGCTCAAAGTTTCACTTACCTGTTCTTTTAAACAAAACAAATCACCTTCTGCACCTTCACAATTATGGAATCTGGAGAAACTAAGTTTATTCACTGCATTTTTCAATGATGTGGAAATATGTTAAAAATAATTATGTCTCTTGAAAATTCTTTGGAAATATGTTATTTTCTCCGAAGCGGCGAAGAAATTCGCAAACAACCGTCTCTGAGAAGCAGACGATTATAGTTGACCTCATTGCCGTATCCTAAACAAGGAGCAAGGGGGGGGGGGGAGGCTTACTGCATGCTCATGCCGGAATATTAAAATATATCATCTCCACATGAAGCAAGCGACAACGTTTTTTTTTTTATCTTTTTTTTTTCATTAGACACTCTCCTCGTTCAGTACCGTAAGAGGGAACTGCCATTCCAAGGAAAGAAAGACAGGTCAGCTAGTCGGAATCGGGCGACATCGTCGTCGAGCTCTACACCTCGAGTGACGCCCAGCGCCTCGAAGATGAAAAGCAAAAAGGGCGGCCCCCCGTCGAGAGCGGGAAAGGCTTCAAGATAAACCAGACGAATTTCGACAGGATCGGAAAGGCTTTCCAGAAATCAACTCGTAGGCAATTTCAATACAGCATATTGCCTTATCCCATAGATAGCATGGCCGAATACGCATCTCATTGTGATGTTCGCACCTTTTAATCGATGATGGACAAGTCTGTATGCAAAGGTATTTGGGCATGAAGTTGAAAAAAATAAATATTGTCGATGTAGCTAGGACTATTCAAAAGCCCCTCGACCTTTTCCGAACGTTTCGGCGCTAAAGTACTGCGTTTAAACGCAATGTAACAATTATAATAATCACATTAACAATGATTTTTTTTTTTAAAGTACGCACGCCTCAAATACATTATTGAGAACGCTAATTAAGGCCAGGTTGTTTTATATTTAGAGTCGTGTTTGGTCACAAGATGTCATAACATATGTCAAAGTGTATGACCCCCCCCCCCCCCCCATCGTTTACAAAGTGAGCAGACGTAATATACAGTAGATGATGAAGTTATCGTACATTGTACGGTAAATTCATTATCAATATGTTATTACTGGTATTATGTTATTAATAATATTAATGATAATATAAACACTGATTTGTCCATAAGCTGACATTAAAGTGTTTGACAAAATGAAAGTCCCGGTTTACTAAGAGTATTTGCCTGGTCTCATTAAACATGTGACATCATTATGTAATATGAAAAACAAGAATATTTCTTACATCAAAATATATTTAAACAAAAATCATATTACCCGGTGTTATGATAAGGGTGGCAATGTTAGTGTTTGGTCACAAAGTATTACTTTTTTTTTTGTTACATCTGTAAAAGAGTACGTGTACTAGAAATTGACGAATTTAAAAAAGAATGCTGCCCCCATATGACGTGAGAATATCCAATATAAAAAGTCAATGATAAAACAGGGTGGTAACTGTTCTGAAGATTACAACAAATGACGCCACCTAATAGAGTTCGGTATAAAAAAAAAACAGCAATCGTTTTAATGGTTTATCTATCCCAAAGAGTGAAATGTAATAACATGACACAATTTGAATACATTCTAACATGATCCCGAAACGATTTCTTTTGTTTGTAATACTTCTAAATAAACTCTTCAGAAAAAAAAAGAAAACAAATACGGATTGCTTTCGGAAGATGTTATTGAACTATCATCATAATAAATATGGAAAACATGGCGTTGACCCTTTACATTACAGTATTTTGAAATGTGTCGGTTGGATATGGTCTTTAGTAATTGTGATTGATTGATTGAGGAGTGGTCAGGTATGGTTTTCAGAAGATGTGCGTAAACAACATTTGAGACCAAACCTTAACAAAGCGAGGGAAAGGGCCAAGTTTGGCCAAACTACACATAGCCCTAACCTACATACATTCAATAAAAAAGGGCATCTGACAGTTTAAGGGATGGGGTCTATTTGCTATTCATAAGGACCGTTATTCATAAGGACCGCTATTCATAAGGACCGCTATTCATAACGTGGAACTTCCCATACCTGCAGGTCCGGTAATCATGATGGGGGAAGAGGGTCACTATTCATAAAGAAATGAGGACCGTTAATCATAAGGACCGCTATTCATAACGTGAGATGAGGGTCGCTATTCATAATTCATATTGAGGGTCATTAATCATAAGGACCGCTGTTCATAATACAAAATTGGGGTCGCTATTCATAAAACGAGAAGAGGGTAGCTATTCATAATTTACATTGGGGGTCACTACTCATAAGGACCGCTGTTCATAATAGTATTAAAAATTGTATCAACCATATTAATCCTTATGGAATTTAGTATTGTAAAAAGCATTATATATTGTCATCCCATGCTCACTGTCTTCCATTAGTTTGGAATAGTGTCTTATTGTCGGGGTCATCTCGTAGGAGAGGTTGGATAATCATAAAGCATATACATGTATATACAGTGCGTCCCAGAAAAAACGAAACCGAGAAGTATCGATGTTTTATCATAACTTAATTACAACCATAATTAATGAATGATACATATTTGGAAAGCTTAGAGTCTCCTTTCCTTTCCTTATAAAATATATGGTCTTGTCACCGAAGTAAATTTTCTTAAGTTTGGCTATCAGTTGAGGGGGGGGGGGGAAGATTTCCCACAAGGGGGGCAAATTACGATAGGATTATGTGTGTGTTATGTTTTCCTTTTTTGGTCACTATACTATAGCGGGGGAAATATATTAGCTAGATTATGGGGATGTATTTATATAATTATCAAAGCTAAAAAGAAAATATAGGCCTACTTTTAAAAAGACATAATAAAAGGGACGCCAACGGTTTTTTTTTTTTGTAGCATTCATTCAGTACAAAATATTTTTTAAAACATACATCTTCATTGATTTACATAACATTTCAAAATGTAAAGAAAATTGTACATCCCTCATAAATACATAATATAGTTTAATACACAGTACATAATGTCTTCAAATTAATTATACTGAATGAATAATATAATTCAAAGCCTTACGCACAGACAGAGAGACAAACCACACACGCTCACATACTCAGACACACATACAAACTTACCTACCCCTCCCCCTTCATTCCAAAGCTCAACAAATCCCCCTCCCTTCCCGAGCATAGTCACATCTCGACATTTGTTGGAAATCCTTTTCCTCATGACCAATTTATATAAAAATGTTTGAGTCTGAAGGCAAAATGCCTTACGGTCGCAAAATCGTATCTTATTTGACTTAAAATCTTGAAAATCTTACTTTCTTACTTATATGGAGAACAAAATATCGTGCAATATTGCATATTTACGAAAAGCTTGAATATTGTATATATCTTAAATCCCTACAACCCCCTTTTTGCCACTTCCTTCCTTTGCTGAAGATAAGGGACATGATAGACCAATAGACCAATAGACCAATAGGGCAACACTGCACCCCAACCACACACACACACAAACACACAGGCTACGCCATCTATGAACTATTTGGACGAGAATTGTCGGTAATATGAACTTGTATCACGGAAATACTGCCCCCTCCCGCCTACGCCACAGCCTTGGGGTGTCCCCTATCCATTATTTCGCTTTCTGATTAACATTTTGTTAATTGCTTATTTCATTTTCATTTTTTTATGAATAGCAATCCTTATCCCGGATTATGAATAGCGAACCTCATTCCGTATTATGAATAGCGGCCCTAACTCTACATTATGAATAGTGACCCTCATTTCGTATTATGAATAGCGACCTTCATTCCGTATAATGAATAGAAACCCTAACTCTATATTATAAATAGCGACCCTCATTTCATATTATGAATAGTGACCCTCATTTCGTATTATGAATAACGACCCTCAATGCGCATTATGAATAGCGACCCTCTACTCGTATTATGAATAGCGACCCTCATTTCGTATTATAAACAGCGACCCTCTCCTCCTATTATGAAAAGCGACCCTCATTTTGTATTATGAATAGCGACCCTCTTCTCTTATTATGAATAGCGACCCTTACGAATAACGAACCCGATTTTGTATTATGAATAGCGACCCTCTTCTCATGTTATGAATAGCGACCCTCTTCTCTGATTATGTACAGCGGTCCTTATGAATAATAAACCTTATGAATAGCGACATTGACCCTAAGGGACAGGCCCTGGAAGGCTCATCATTCACAGGTCACCATCTCCCAGCCAAAAATTAAAATGTAATTACACTAAGCCCTAACGTACATACATACAATATAAAAAAAGATCATCTGACTGACCCGGCCCCCTCCCCCACCCCCTGAGTCGGAGGGATCAAAATCTCCGGTTAAGGAGTACTTAACCGGACGTGACAAGAAATCGCTGCCCCTGCCACCGTATCGTTTCCCATGCGTTACCAACATCATCTATAGTTATAAGTGTAGCCTCGGCATACTCAGTGCATCTATCAAGACATCCCTAATTGAGCTGGGATCAGACCACTGTATCCGCCACTATATTACGAGTAATTGATACGCATAAGATGCATATTTTAAGAGAAGTCAGTAGTGAGAATAGCCACCGTGACTCTATAATATGATAAGCTCATTAAAGTTCTCATGATGAGGAAGAAGAACTAAAAACCTCTCCGACTTGAAATTATTTATGAAATCTGGTGACATGCGAGAAATAAATGCTCTGTAGGCCTCTTTCTTCTTCTCTCTCTCTCTCTCTCTCTCTCTCTGCCTTCTCCTCATTCTCTCCAATTCCCCACTCTCTCTCTCCCTCTCACCACCCCTTCTCTCGTTCACATGCACCTACATGCTATATATGCATTTCTATAAATTTGTTTGTCAGTGGAGGCCGCCAATTGTAGAGAAAGAAATCTAAACGTGAATCTCAGTGATTTCAGGTTTAATTTAGGAATTCAATGGGTCACCATAGTGATAGCTGTATACCTATTTGATAACCCAATCTCTGACCCTTACACTTTTCAATCAGCTCTTATTGCGATCCTTGCCCTTGTTACGGTATATGCTGCCGTCACTAAGATTGTAAAAGTCGGGGATGGGGGGGGGGGGCGAGGCAAGTTGAGCAGCAGGCCATTAATATAGGGCAAGGAAGGACAAAGATTGAGGGCCTATTGTGGGCACATAATTACGAAGGGGCGGATTGAGGATTTAGTATTTTGTTATAAAGGGGGGGGGGGGAGGGCGGTGGTTTTTGCACGATTCCTGTCAAAAAAGTGAATTCCCTGTCGAAAAATTGAAAGGGAAACGAGGAGACGATTCGTAGGGGAGTTATGTTCTTGTGCTATACGACACCGTTTTTAAGAAGGAAGGGGTGCACGGGCCGATGCCCCCTCCCTACCTCATCTTTCGTTATTCAGTGATGGATTTATGGAGGAGGCCAGTGTACCATTTCCCTATTCTTACGACCGAATTAGGGCTTGAAAGATGAGGGATGAGCCCCCCCCCCTCTCAGTGTTATTCAGGGTACGCATATGCTCGTTCCCTCTTTTTGAAAGCACCCCCTATCTGAGGACTGCCAACATTTCCGAACCCCCCTTTCGCGGGCTTTTTGCGGGCTTTTCCTGCCTTGGAGACCCCCCTAAATCAGGAAAATTGCTCAATGTACCCCCCCCCCCTAAATTCGGAATAATTTCTCAGGAGTCCAAAGAGATGAGAGAAAAAAGAAAAAAGACCCCCTTTTTAAAGAAATCTCCGGGTGAAAAGTTAATACACCCCTTTTTTTTTACAATTCTCGGGCCGGACTTTGTCGCACGAAAAGTACCCCTTTACCGGACATTTTGGTAACAGGCATGGGGTCATTTTGACCCCGGAGTGGGGGGGGGGGGGGGCGGGGGGATGAGGCCAATCAGAGGGGGTTTAATGGGGATGACGCCCTCTAAAAAAAAAAAAACCCCACCGTGATCAGATGACGAAATCAAACCCCTTTAGCTTTAGCATTAAAATCAATGCAATTCGATTCCAATTACACTATCATGCACCCCTGCTCCTGTTTGTATATCACTGCGACAAATTACGCCCAGTCGCGAGTATAGGAAAGGGGAACGGGGTATTGAAAGAATCATGTCATATTTTGATCTCTGGCCCAAATACAAGTGACTACAGCATTTTACGATGGGGAGATAATGGGCGTGTGTAGAGTCGTGACCTAGTAGGTAGCAACGAATGTTCAGAATATACGATGATCGTACATTTACTAGTACACGTCTCAAGGAAAGATAAGTTGCTTCTTTCTAAAAGTTCTGTGGAACATACATAGCCTGGTTTACACTGCTGCACCCAACATTCTACACTATAACGACTATTCATCCAGAAATAGCGGAACTATAGATTTCATTCAGCCAAACTTGTAGAGAGGTATGTATGGAGTGCTTTTATTCTCACTTTTTATTAATATCATTCTACGACTTTACTATCATATTAATGTGTAATAATGATCAATATGTCGGTCCGGTAGATTTCTAGGTTAAATACAACCCCAAATAAGTGGCATAGCTATGGGGGGAGGGGGGCATGGTGGCACTTTTTCCCCAATCGAAAGACAAGAAGGAAGAAAGTGGAGAGAGCGAGGGAAGAGGTGAAGGAATACATAAAAACAGAATGTGAGATAGTATAAAGAGAATGATTGCTCGAAAACTCTCTATAAAGATTATAATAGTATATGTGAATCAGTAATGTGGGACGGCATGATAACCTTTAAATGGTAAGAGGCGCAGTAAACGATTATCGTAAAATGATTCAGGGTGATCCGATCTGCGTCTTTGATGTAGTTTAACTTAGAGGAGGAAAAGACAAGAGGAAATAGGGAAAAACTAGAGGCAGAGAAATTATGTGAGTGTGTCTCTTTCACTTTAAGATGGCAAAATGTTTCCATTCTAAAATGGACAAGGGGTCTACGTCAGTCTGCCATCTCAATGTTGACTCTCTAGTACAGCGTTTTTTAACCAGGGTGCAGCGAGAGTATTTTAGTAATATTAAAAATACATTTTGGAATAACGTCAAATGCCCAAATTGATATCACATTCAGTATTTTGATGAGGAAGTAACATTCGAGAAATATTTAGTTAAGTGTCTTTTTTCCTCTCTCGCTTCGCTCGCTCGCCAAATTTAGAAACAGGAAATTTTAATTCAGGCAGCGAAGTCCATGAATATCCTCATAATATGATATGACAATGTTCAGGCTACTCACTGCTCAAAAATTGGCATTATTCGGGCAACATGGCGCCCGAATATAACCTCACTTATTGTATTTTTTATATCGAAATTAAATTTATACCACAAAAAAGTGTTATTTTCTGCTCGTTCGCTTCACTTCTCGCTAAATTGATGAATAGATATGATTCCTGGCAACGAGATGACCGAATATACATTTTTACATATGTAATGTATTTTGATGATCAATAAACATTTTTGCCATTAGAAAAGTGTTTTTTTTCTCGCTAGCTCGCAATTTTTTGGATCCGGATAGTATTTTCGGCCACACACGAAAATGTTCCCGAACGTGTATTATGTACGAGGGATGGAAAACAAATCATCTCTGATGAACTTGATTGGGGAGACGTGAAACTTTTTAACTCCTGAAAGGGTGCAGTTACTAAAAATAAATAGCTTGAAAAAGTGCTGATCTAGTAAACTAACGACTTGTGCCCCCCCCCCCTCCAAGACTGAGCCAACGCTACGCCACTGTAACCTATCGTACAGTGAAATAGGTAACGAGTCATGATTTGATTTGGATTAACACAAACCTAATGTATATGATCTGATGCTTACAGTTATTATCATGACTTCTTAAATTTTTCAATAATTTAATTATTATTATTATCTTCATCATCTTATCTTCTTATTTATGGCGTATCAATGTATGCGATTCTATTTTATACAGATCCCCATATATATAAGACCGAGTGCAAAGCCGTTCTTATACGATGGCTGAGGTGGCGGTTCTCAATGCATGGGACTACGTAGCCATCGTATGCTATTTTATGATAGTCATCGGTGCCGCAGTCTACGTAAGATTTTTGATATTGTAATCTAATTACACATAAGAAAATAGTTCCACCATCTTCGAATTTTAGAACTAAAATATTAGATAACCCATTTCTTGCTTATATAGAGAATTTGTTTGTAAACCATTTATTAAAATGCTGACCCCCACTTTTGCTTGCTTCTCACAATTTTCTTTCGATGGGAAGTGTTCCTTTTGAAAATAAAAATAATCTGCCCCTTTTATTATATTCCTTGTATTCGACAAACTCCTCGGAGGCTCGAACGACTGAAATGTGTTATAACCAATTTAAAGTACAACTTTACGATTGTAATACGACTTTGCGATATACTTGGTATAGTTAAAAAGAAGAAGTTAAACAAATTAAAAATATTATCGTACATAACGGACCCCCGGCTACTGACCGAATGCGCCCATAACCTGTCTGTATAAGTAGAATGGTATGTTTAGACCACTAGATGCCACTAAAAGGCACGTTTTTACTAAAATATGTGTACTGGCTTTTGTTTTGGTTTTTTTCAAAAAGTATGTTACGGCCAACTCATGGGCCCGCATTCTACTAAAAACTAAACCCGACGCTGGGCATTAGCTGTAGTTCGAAAGCGAAATAATGACAAAGAAAGTTAGTATAAGGTCTAAGTTTTACTTTGCTATAAGTGATCTTAGACAATAGGTGTTTAAATGATTTAGTGGAATACGATGGCCATGGAAAATTTCTGAAACAAGAGGAAAGCAACGTAATATTATTAAAAAGGTAGGTTAAAGGTCCAATTCTTATTTTGGGAATGTTTATGACACTCACAAAAGAGACAAACATGGACTAAGAAGTAGTTTGGTTTAAGCCATAAATTTGGATCAAAATCATCTAAAAAAACAATTTGAATTGAAATTCACGAGCACCGCCCGAACTTTGAAATTCAACAGAATTTATTGATGATGATTGTATAATTCATGATAACAATGATTGTTTTACCTGACTGCTAAGTAATCATGTACATGTATATGCCTGGAAGTAAACAACCTAGTTATTTAGTTGCGTATCTCAAATGAATGGAACTTCATATTAATCGTAATGGGTGATCGCGTGCAAAATGTACCGTACGACAAACTTTGGTTCCCCATTTATTTCATCTAAATAATGCATTATATATTTGATATGACCATTTCATAATGCCAGTAATACCAGACATAAAGTTAAGTCGATGGTCAACATCAAGATATTTTTCATTGTGAATGAAAAATTTGGATAAATAATGTCATATAAGTGTACGTCGTAAATCATGCTAAATTTAAGATTTTTGTTCTTTCTCAAATTTAAATTGGCAGGCGCTGGTGACGACAAATAGAGGGACTGTTAACGGCTACTTTCTAGCCGGAAGGTTTATGACATGGCTGCCTGTGAGTTATCCAACGTAAACATTTCCCTTGTTTGATTTGATTTTTTTAGGTAGAAAATGGCAGAAACATGAATATATATTTTGTTATTGTAAATATTATGTAAATATTTCCACAATTCGGTAACATGCCGCTATTGAAAAATGCTTATGCCTTCATCTCTCATTTTTTTAATCCAATTTCTTTTCAGGAGGGGAGGGGGGGGGGGGCAATGGGGTGGTGGAATTGGTTGTATAATGCTTCTGGGCTTTGCTACCTAAGCCTCAGTCACCCTTTAATCATATCTATATATACACATACATAATCTTTGGAACATAGCTTTATACAAAATATAATGTTGAAAATTAGAAGGACGTTATCAATAGTGATGAGTTGCTCATTTTCCTGAAACAGGTCGGAGCGTCAATCTTTGGCAGTAATATCGGCAGCGAACATTTCGTCGGTTTGGCGGGGGACGCGGCAGCGAGTGGCTTAACCCCGGGTGCGTTCGAATTGAATGTAAGTATCTATTCTTAAAGCTTGAAATAGGCAAATAAACCATAGAAAGATCAATGAAAATGACCGCTTTGAGACACCCCCAAAAAGTAAATACATGTAAATAAAATAAAATAATAATAATAATAATAATATTTAGTTTTTATATAGCGCTTATCACAAATGTCCATTAGCGCTTTATAAATATAATATTACCCAGGTCATCGGATTCAGTGCTTGCCTGCACACACTGTGTGCACAATCTCCACAGTGGAGCATTCCAGCCAGGCGTTACTTGACGCTCAAAAACTGTTTGACCAACATTGACGGTCGCATCCTATCGGGTACCCATTTAACACCTGGGGGAGAGCAGCAAGTGCAAATGATATTAGTGTCGTGTCGGGATTCGAACCCTCGACCTTCGCATCTCCAGTCAACGCCTTAAACCACTCGACCACGACACTCTCACAAAATAATCACATGACCCTTCCCGAACAGTTTTGATGTAAAACAAAGAAGACTAAAATTGTTGTAAAATTGATGCATCCATTTCTAACAATTATCGATCCTCCCTCTGGATAAACCACTGATAATATCATGATGGAAAATGAATAACAGTATGTCACACTCTCCCTCTCGCATTTTATCCCCCTCTTAAAGGCATCGTTTAACAATGTTAAATCTGAGATGCACGGCCCTACGTGTCATCAGTGTCTGTGATATGGTGTAATATGGAAGCCCTAAAAAAATCGCTCTTCAAAATGATCATGAAGTGCCTCAAAAAAGTAAAAATCTTTGAGTGACCGGTTTTACCATACTTGTTTTCCCCCAATAGACTGTAGTGTTGTGAAAACCGGGTTTGATTTCGATTTCCAATCATAAATATCTTGATAATCAGACGAGCGATGGGCTTGTAAAGTCATGGGGTTCCTGATTGACCTAAAGGTTTATAATTATCATTGCAGCATGAGCTAAATCCAGGATTTTGGTTCAGAAACTGAGACAAAGTTACCGGATCCCTTTAAGACCGATGTCCCTCCCCCTCAATGTCTGGACCTATGCCCTACGCCACTGCTCACAGTAACAATATTTAGTTAAGCTAGTTAGCCTATGAACTATGGCCTATTGTACACCATAAAACCTTTCCTAATCATAGAACAAACGATTCATAAATCGATTTCCATTGTTTGGTACGAAAATAAAAGTAGGCGTGCATGTCATAAATTGACACTTTTGTTTCCTCTATTCTTGTGGATGAAAAGATAATAATGCCAAGCAAAGAAAGGCATTTATTTTAGTATTTCGTATTTCATAGTTTCCATTTTTATTGTGCTCACTTTTTGAAAAGTATGATTTAAATGCACAAGAAGAATGGAATATAAATTCAGTATTGAAGACAGGGTCTAGATTTCATTCAGATTGTTTCTCATAAAAGTTATATTCTGTATATACTTCAAGACTTGTCAGCTCTACACTCTCTGTCACACTCACACGCTTGTACAAACCCCTCTGCTACGAAGAGGCAATTTATATTATTCACGCATTTGAATATTTAGCTCCACTCTTAATTACCCTTACCACATTCAGACAGATTCAGTGTCAAATTGAATTGATTTAATGCTCAAGTTGATAAGAATGAACTTGCGGACCCTTACTTTAGCAATATCGCTACTATACAGTATAGCATTGTGATTTCCATGCATGTACAGGCTAATTTGTCTTTCTAGGAAATTCTAGCAGTGTCTAAAATGTAATATATTCACATTTTCCGTTTTTGCTAGATCTTTAAATGAATAAACTTTCAATTACATAGTGATATTATGATATAAGAATGCATATGATAACAAATTTACTCGTTGAATAATTTCAGGCCCTGAGTCTCCTCCAACTGATGGGTTATTTATTCATACCAGTCTACATAGCATCAGGGGTGAGAATCATGCACGCTTCTTGAAATACATTTATTGTTCATTTTAATCCGTCTTGTACTAGGGAATCCGTAAATACATTGATGTTACACCAAACAAAATAAAATGTCCTTCTCGTCCATTAAATAAGTGTTATCAAGATTTGCATTCAAAATATTAGAGAAGAAGGAGGCGAAATTATCAACAATCAAGAGATTTGTGATAAAAGAAGGGATTTTGAGTGGAAAGGAAAAATTCACTATCTATTTGATGAACTACCCACTGTTTTGTACAAAACTGTTTATTTTTCATCTGTATGAGTAAATGTTGAAGGTGGATGGCATGCTTTTAAGAGAGTCACTCGAATCATTCAAGGGTTGGGGTACAGTATGACGAATATTTTAGAAACAGGAAATTCATACCTCCATAAAATAATAAAGCTTTAAAGGTACTATGTCCCATTTGCAGGCCTAACAAATGAAAAGGTTAAATTCCAACGGCATTTTTACCCTTACCCTTTAAAGCTAATTTTATGTATGTTATTACCAAAGAAGAAAAAAAAGCCGGTCAGTCACTCAATAGTGTCTGACAGTGAAGTCTCGCAAGTTAAAACGGGATTCCTTGCATAATTTGAATATTAGGACACTGCTAATGTTTAAATGTCACAGATGGAACATACATGACATATTCATAATTCCTGCAAAGTTTTACAGAATTTGATGTTGGCTGCAAAAGGGACATAGTATCTTTAATATGCACACCCTTTTTGAGTAATTTACAGTTTAACTTTTGTTTCATTATCCGTTAACTAGGTTTGTACTTTGCCTGAGTTTATGATGAAGAGGTTTGGTGGACGGAGGATTCGGGTTTATCTGGCCTGCATGTCCATCTTCGTCTACATCGTAGCAAGAGTCTCGGTAAGAGGAATTTCTTTGGAACTATTTTGGATAGGTTCATGAACATGACCTGTTGTGGACAAATGATGGAGGGAAAGGGGGGTGGTAGTGGGGGGTACGTGCTTCCCCTTCAAACCCGATATGACAATCTTAAAGTTGGCCAATACATGAGATATTTAAACGTTGATTGAGGAAACATGCACTTTCAATAATTGCGATAACATTTTTTTGTCGGGGGGGGGGGGGGCAAAACATTCATTGACCCATGTACAGTGATTTAAAGGCTGAGAACAACTTGGATTCGAAAGATTAAGGATTGAAATCGAATCATTTTGCTGTTTCCCTGTTAATGATCTGACACCCCCTTCAAACTCTTATTTCTCCTTTCTTCTATGCCTTCAGGTCGATCTGTATTCGGGGGCTCTTTTCATCCAGCAGGCCCTGGGCTGGAATCAGTATGTTTCGATTGTCTGTTTACTGGTCTTTGTGGGCATCTTCACGGTCACAGGTGGGTCAAGTCATGTGATCTTCTCTCCGCCCCCCCCCCCCCTCCCCCCCCCCCCATCCCCGATTTTGAATGGTATAAATCAGGCTTGGTATGTGTCGGTTATGAGATAACCATGGCATGCCAGAAATTAACACCCGAAACCATATCGATTTCAAAATATATATTTCATTTTTACACTATAATTAACTCTTTAGCTCAGAAGAGGTTTTAGGATTAAACAAGATCGCAACTATTTTCGAGAAAAAAATCTACTCGAGGGCTTACGTAATACGTCTTTGTCATGTTCGCACGTTTGACAAGGTGACGCACACATTTATTGAAATTGCCTTTAGGTTGAGTCTTCAGAAGCCGTGGTGATCGTGTAAATATTTTCGATTTCCTAGTATAATACTATTACATACGGATCATAACCGGATTTTCATAGCCCCCAAAAGGCGTTGACATGCTCGATGAAATCCTTCTCTTAATTTGTTCCCATTGATTGCGCCGATCGGTACTTTTGGTACGCCAGCGAATTCGGGTAATATGGCAAAGGTTAAACAATTTAGTAGGGTATCATTGTGAAAACATCATGAAATCCCAACTTTTAAACTTCACTTTATAAACCACTATTCACGATTATTACAATTCATGCAGGTGGGCTGGCGGCAGTGATGTATACAGACACTGTGCAAGTCTTTATCATGATCCTGGGTGGAATGACCCTCATGGTTCTCAGTAAGTAATATCCATTGAAGTCATACGTATGCATAGTTTATAAATGAACGTTGTTCCTGACAACCTGAAAGCTTGCCTGACATAGCAGCAAATAATATATGTAGACTAGATTCCTAGTATTTTAGTTCATTCATGTATAAGAGGTTAATGGGATAACTCGTCACTAGGTCCCAGGAAAGAAACATCCATGTTAGTACACCGGTCTATTAAATAATTTGAGATTAATCTCAGTCACACCACCGGACTAACATCAGACTGGCCGATATCTGACGAAGTATTGGCCAATAGTGGAAATGTAATTTATGAAGTCTGTTGTCGTACAGGTGCCTAGCTAGATCTCTGGTGTTAGTCTCTTCGATGTGAGTGCAGTGCAACACCAAAATCAAATCTTAGGATTATAAAGAGAAACAAAAATACAACCTGAAGAGCAAATATCTTGAAGAAATTGAAGTAGAAAAATATCATAGAAAATTTATAAAAAGTCAGATAAACAATAACAGATTTATTTAAGTTTTTTTAGAATAATAATGATTTTATCGAGTATACATATTATGTGAATTTAAAAATTAGTGAATGGATAATATCACTGCATGTGCATAAGAAATTTTAAAAGGGATCGTGCTTTTTTGCAACGGTTTTTCCCACTACAAAGGCAAATTCTGATGGGGGAAGGGGAGTTCCGGGGGGAGTTACTCTTACAGGCGTTTAACCTCGACCAATCCTTCTTTACGATTCAGTCGCCTTTCCCGATCATGACAAGAAATTACGTTCCTAGGCTGTTTGAAAGACATTTGATAATGGAAGCAGGGGCGGCGATTTCTTTTCATGACCGGGGGGGGGGGGGCGAAATGCGAGGGACGAGGGAGCAGTGGCATAATGGGCAAAAACGTTGGAGGAGCAGAACAAATCCGCATCACCACCACTCTTCCATGTTACGCAGGCCCTGGGAACGTTTTTTTAAAGTGAGGGGGAGGGGGGGGGGGTTTAAAGTATTTACGATCAGGTAGAGCAAAGCAAAGCAAAGTGTATCGTACTTTGGCGTGGGAATAAACCACGTTTGAATTTCATTTCATTTCATTTTTTTTTTTTGGGGGGGGGGGGGGAACTGCCCCTAAAGCCCCCCCCCCGCCCCATCAGTACGCGAATGCGAAGGAGCATAGTGAATGAGAGGGGTGAAGGTGACGAAATTGACTACCCCCCTCACAGGTTTTTGAAGTTTTGTTGTATTAAAATATTATATTCCTTAGCAAGACTATAATATAAACGTCAGTAATATACCTTTTTCACCCTTCCATTTTCTCGGTATTTTCTTGTACATTTTGAAGGATATTATGCGAGAAGATTTTTGCATTTTTATTTGTTTAAACGCTGCACTCTTGGGCTTCCAGAGCCTAAAAGTTTGTTGCAGTCTTTAGCCAGTATTTGCTATACATTTTGTTTTAGCAGTTTTTCAAATTTTGAGGGGGGACGACCCCCCCCCCCTAAAAAAATCGAGGGGGGGGGGGGGACGTGTCCCCCCGTCCCCCCGGATCGCCGCCCCTGAATGGAAGCCTACGTCAAGTGTAAATTTATATTAATAAACGTTACAGAGAATAACTGAATTAAAGTTTCTTGCCCAAGCCCTGTTTAAAGAAAAGTTGACAATTTCATTTAAGGTTACATAAAGGTCGGAGGTCTCAAGGAGCTAAAGGTCAAGTACTTTCAAGCGATCTCTAACGATACATTGAACACACCGAACTACACATGCGGTTATCCGAAACCCGAGGCTTTCCACATGTTACGGAGTGCAGATCCTTACAACTCGGATTTTCCTTGGATCGGTTTTTTAATCGGACAAAGCATGACATCCATCACCTACTTCTGCGCTGAACAGGTAATCTAAAAATACATTCATTTCATACGAGGCCAAGTTAAAGTCCAGTCAAACCAGGGTATGTGAGTTAAAACACCCCCCTGGTCAAACCATTGTTATAAGTTCATTTGTATGAAAGTAGAAAATAAGAGAAACGGAATGGTGAAAACTTGAAAAAAAAACTGAGCAATGATAACAAATACAAAATAATTATGAATGTTTGAAATTAAAAAAAAAAATTACATTTATGCGAATCTCAAATTTGTAATTTGGTCAGCGGATTGTGACGTAATCCCGGACAACTCTCCCATTTGTCTTGCACAAAAATATAATTAAACTCTGATTTTCTCCTAAGCACCTTCTCCCTTTGGGTAGCACCCATAATATATTATTGGTAGCATAATTATATTAGGTCTTCTACAAAGAGAAGAACAACATGGGAGAGTTATATCCGCCACTACGTTACATTGACCAGGTGATCGACATTACCGATTCGGCTAATTTGAAACCCCTTAAAGCTATGGTCACAAATCAGAGCAGCGACCGACCGATCAGTAGCCTGCTTGGTCGCTCCTGGAATTAAGCATCGCCCAGCAATTAGGTCGGTGCGCGGGCGGCGACCGCCCAGGCACCGAGGGTATTTTGGGCGGCGAGTGAAAAATGAGAAGGCGCCGCCCAAATTTTAACTTCGCGCTCAAACTTCAGCGGCGACCGAGCGATGCCCTAAGACGAGCTTGGGCGGCCGCCGTTCGGTGGCCGGGCAGCCCCCAGGCAGAATTGGTTAAAAACTCGCCGTTCGGCCGCCGAGCAGGCTACTTTTGGGTAAAGTGACCACAGCATACTCATAGTGATTACAACTTTTAAAATATCATAATATTGTTATAGTTGGTCCAACTTCGTTCAAACTTTCACAAATCTGCTTCTAAAATTTTTGGGGATCAATTTGCAATTTAAGGTTGAATTTCCTTTAATGAGATCCAGCACCCCCGCTCAGTGTTATTTAGGGTTCCCGTGTGCATGTTCCTTTCTTTTGAAAACACCCCCCCCCCCCCCCCCCCCCCCCCCCCCTAAGTCCGGTGTGTAAAGTCAATACTGGCCGATTTTGGGTGTGTTACGAGCCGGACTTTGCTGCGTGAAAAGTACCTCTTTATATACCGGATATTTTTGGGAACATGAATGTGGCCCCTCCGTTCCCGGAGTGGGGGGGGGGGGGGGGGGGGGGGGGGGGGGGAGGGAATGGGATAAGCACAAACTTTTGCGCATGATTACACATTGGAGCCGAAATGGCTTTAACACTTCGTTAAAGTATATGAGTTGATTCCCTTATTGCTCTCAACACGCGACAAAGTAAATGACGTCAGCCGAAACACAGAAGAGAGTTATCTTTGCTCAAATAAGCAGTGATCGCTCTGCTGTGTGATTCTGTATCCACTTTGCGTCTCCGAACGTCACTACTCACTAGAAAACCCATATACGCAGTCGCAAAGCTCACAACCTCAATAAGAAATTCCTGGTTTATAAATGGGCCATTTGCAATATTATCAATGTAGCTTAAACGAAACGACAAAGACAAATCTCATGAAAACAAAACAAAACAAAAACAAAGTAAAACATTAAAATTAAAAGAGTGACGGGGAGTCTGCATTAAAATCTACATATATAAGTCTACATATAACTCTTATTGTTCTTGAACGGATGGTAAAAGAGCTAAATTATGATGATTTTTGCCAACTCTATATGAACATGGCAACAGAACAATCACGTTTTTTCATAATTCTATATGTGTCGAGTATGAACTTACTACAAAAACCTAATTAAACTACTGCGTCTTCGAACAGGTGATGGTACAGCGCACTCTCTCGGCCAAGAGTCTTTCACACGCACAAGGGGGTTGTATCTTTGCTGGTTACATCAAGATCTTACCCCTCTTCATGATCGTCATTCCTGGTATGATATCAAGGGTGCTCTTCACAGGTAAACTCACATGATGGAAATTCGGGGATTTAATGATATTCATAATGCTCATGATGACGTACTTTATTTAGAGGAGACGCGACGGCTTAGTGGTAGAGCAGTGGTTTCGTAACCGACAGGTCTCGCATTCGATACCAAGTTAATGCGCTCGTACCCTTTGGTTAGACATTAATCCTCATTACCAAGTCCCTCGGAGAGCACTTAAAGCCGTCAGTCCACTGGGTCATTACTTACAAGCATTACATGCTTTCTTAGCAGTCAGGTAAAACAATCATCGATCATCATCCATTTTAGGTAGCGTTGAAATACACCGCAAGTATTATGACGTCTTAGGAACCACATTTTCATTAGCCATTTCGGATATTCAGTTGTCTCCCATTACCATATACTTTTGGTATACCCTGTAAATATGTTTGATATGTTGTTTAAGAAATGGTAACAAATTTATAAATTTATTCGTTCGTGATGATGTTAGTAATAATATTAGTAAAAACAACCCTAGCATTATATGATAATCCAGTGTCTTGTTCGCCGGTAGGATAATGATGAAAACGATAATTATGAGCAAGTTCCAAACTATTTGGACATTGGTTTCCCATTATCTCATACATGAACGAGTATTGTGGAGTTCTTATATCGATTCCTTTTATTTTGCTCACATCTTCCCTTTCTTTGTACACATGTACTTTGTATGTTTGTTGGTCGTTTGGTCGTTATTTTAATAATACCTTATACAAAAAAAAGAGAAAAAATGTATTCATGAGAGTATAGCTTCGTACACTACCTAACATGTTCATGTTTCATCTTTCTTTTGTCTTTAGATATTGTAGCATGTGCATCAGCAGAGGCTTGCATGGCAGCATGCGGGAATCCCCGGGGATGTACCAACATGGCATTCCCTTCACTAGTACTCGGTGTCATGCCAAATGGTAGGTCTTCCGTTTTGGAGATGGTCTTTTTATTGTCAGCTACGGCGCGCTACTTGACCAATAACCCCGATAAACACTGTTTATCGCCGATAAACAAGGTTTATCGAGCGAAAAACAAGGTTTATCGAGCGAAAAACACTGTTTATCGTTGATAAACATTGTTTATCTGAATTATTTAGCAAATGGCGAGCGATAAACTATGTTTATAAGTCAATAAACATAGTTTCGATAAACAATCTTTATCGCCGAAAAATATTGTTTATCGTCGATAAACAGTGTTTATCGAGAGAAACTGTCAGTCGATATACAGAGTTTCTCACGATAAACGATGTTTTTCGCTCGATAAACCTTGTTTATCGGCGATAAAACAGTGTTTATCGGGGTTATCGGTCAAATGGCGCACCATACACGCCACCTTCTCCCACGATGGGGCTATTTCACAATATCCCCGGTTCTCCGGCTACTCCGTTTAAAAGTGGTCAACAATATATATAGATGCTAGCTTGCTTTCATGCTTCTTGTCTTTGATAAGATGAATCAAATAAGAACGACACCAAAAATATAAGAATGTAAAAATAACTAGTTGCGTTACTACAAAATCACTTTACAATCCCAAATTATCATGGGGTGTAGTCCTGGAACCCAACTGTAATAAGCGGACTAGTTCATATTGGCGCTCGCATTTTGCTACCCGCGTGCTTAGTATTGTTTAATGCTAGCAAAATGGTAACTGATGCAGAATTCCCAGTTAAGGTGATCAGCCCCAAAGTAACCTCTTGTTGGGAATTTTGTTCCTTCTTGTTGTTTTAATATGTTGTTTTGGGAATGTTTTTGTTTTGTTGTGTGTTTACATGAATGCAGTGGCGGATCCAGGGGGTGGGGGCGGTCCCCCCCCCCCTGGCAAAAAAAGAAGGAACGAAAAAAAAGGGAAGAAAATAAGGAAAATAAAGGGGAAAGATTTTTTTTTTTTTTTTTTTGTGCTAAAGAAAGCAACAAAAAAAAAGTTTTCCTTCCCCCTTCTAAGCCACTGAACGACGTCGTAATTTTCTAATTTCCGAGGTAAAAAAAAATTGCTCATCTGACCGTGATTAAATGCCTTACAACCCCTGAGCTTCCGGGGGCTCCGCCCCTTATATTTCACCTAGGGCCCGAAATCAGGCACCCCAATGCTCATCTGACGGTAATTTAATGCCTAAATCCCCTGAGCTCCCGGGGGCTCCGCCCCCTGGTCCTCACCCCAATCAGTGTCCTGCCAGTGTCATAAAAAAGGTATCAAAATATGTTTATCTGACCATTATAAAATGCCTAAAACCCCTGAGCTTCTGGGGGCTCCGCCCCCTGGACCTCACGCCAATTAGTGACCTGCCAGTGTCACAAATAGGGTATAATAATGCTCATCTGACGTAATTAAACGTCTAAACCCCGAATAAAACTGTATCACTATTTATTTGCACCTGATGGGGTTACCCCAAATATATATTTGTCCAGAACAAAATCGTCAGATCATTTGAGGTTTGCTATTTAAGTAATATTGACTGCCTTCTGGGCAATACGACATATATCGCCCGAACCGAAGGTGAGGGTGATATATGACAAGTCGTATTGCCCTGAATTAGGCAGTCAATATTACTATTATTAACCACATCAGACATCTAGAGCAAACAAGAAACTCTTACTATCTTATACTCTTAAATTATGTAGGCTACACAGGGTTTCCTAGCATTAGAAGTTGCAAAAACATTGTCAAACCAGCACTGTTCATCCAGTGTTTGACAGATTTCCGATACACTGCAAACAGTTTGCCTAGGGTGTGATTGTTACGTCACAATGGAGTTCGCGCAAAGTGCGCATTTTCTAATACACGATGCGCGATGTAAATTACAATAGCTGATGCGCGATGTAAATTACAACTGGCACTACATTATTGCGCACTAGTTTAACACGCATTTTGCCATTGACTTTTCAGAGCGGGCTAAAATATTTGTCCATTGACTTACTGTATAACCCAAAGACGTTTAAATATAATTACTAGACGGAAAGCAGCACGCGCGGAAACCATGCAGACGAATGTGATTAGGCTCCGCCTCTTTTGGATCATTTGAAGACAAAATAAGCACCCGAGGCGGCTTTTTGATTGGATATGAGCCTCATGAATATGTATTTTATCGATAGTATCGTTTAAGAAACCGGATAATATATTTGACCTCATTGCGTCACTTTAATTATGCAGATTTATGCACGACGCAGGCTACTCGCACAAACTGAGAAGATTTAGTTCATTGAGAATGGGTGAGTAATTGATTGAAATATGAGTAGATTAAGTGAATTTAGTCATCAATTTTGAAAAAGCTGCAATAGTCTTTGTGATCTACGGTAATTTCGTTACATTGTGAGACCGTTCTCAACAGATTTTTGGGGAAAAGACTAGGAAATTATTGCTCTTGAAATTGAACTTTGATTTTCATCGTCATGAAGTAGTTTGACTGCGGTTTACCGTCATTTCACCCTAGTACTCCAGTTAGGGGCCCGGCCGTTCCGGCAGGCCCACCCCGGGGAATTTCGGTGCTCATCTGGGTCATCTGCATCAAGATCAAACTTTCTAATCAAGTTTTATTTCAGATTTGATCGTCATCATGAATCTAATTCACCAATCATCGATTTAATTTAAATCTAGATTTAACGTTACACCTTACAATAATCTCTGAAGCATGATTTTTTTGATAATCCAAGTGGATTAATTCTTGTTAAAATCTTTAGTAGATGTTGACTCTGATGGCTTTACTTATCAATATCAGTGCCATCCGTTCGCTCAGTTGCATCCGTGTCAACTTTATTCTAGACCAAAATTATCTGTGACCATTGATAATCAAACAACTCCAAATCCTATTTCATTTAGATGTAAACCTGGAACTTATTAATAAAAAGTATTAAAAAAACATCAACACTAGGATTTGTTTATTTAATAATTAGATTTTGTGTGGGTCCAGCATGCTTGTCAAGTTATCATTTAGAGTCTAGACCTTGACCTTACTACTAGATCTAGATCTAGACCCCTATCAGTGGCGTACGCAGGATTTATTTCAAGGGGGAGGGGGGGGGGGGGGGTTAACATTTTGAAATCAGCCCAAAAATTTCGCAACGACTCAGCCAGCCACTGAATAAGCATGGGGGGGGGGGGGGTTAGGTCATCCATTTGGATTTTTTTTGTATTAAAAAAAAACAAAAACAAAAACAACACTAAAAAAAAAGGGGGGGGGGGGGTAGTTTCCAGAAAAACATACACATATAAAAAAAAAAACTGAAGGTAGGGGGGTTTACCCCCCCCCCCCCCCCTGCGTACGCTTCTGACTCCTGTTATTACTTTTAATATATTAGAGATTTTTTTTTTCTTCTCTGAATTGTGCAGTTCATGTTGATAAATCTATTTGTTTGTGTAAGAGAAGACCCCTTGTCCACAATTATGTTTTCTTATGGAGTCCACTTTTCTTGTCTTAATAAACCAATTCTACTTAAGACTACTTTATATTTATAGGCCATATAAAGCACTTTTTGAGGCACACATTAAATCTTCCATTTGATTTTACTTTGTACTGTGGTCCATTAAATTGGAATGTTGATTTCCACACTATATTAAAATTAAGGCCAACCATGACATGAAAAATAGCTTTTATGCTAGATCTATTTTTATTTTGTTAAGGAGAAAGGGACGCCTTGATTGTCGTATTGATTTTGTTTTCTTTTTGTTCCAACAGATGGAAACTGATGAAGAGCTGGAAGGAGTTAAATGATGAGTAGACATTACAACATTTCTTATATTTTCAAGATGAAGCTGAAAGTCCCATGCAGGTAAAATTTTCAGGATATTTAGCACACAAATATTAAACCACCACCTATTAATTCACTAAAAAGGAAATGGAACTAAGTGTATGTTTCAAGTGTGTATAGTGGAGGGAATATTTTATTCTAGTTCTTCCCTTTCTTTGTTTACAAAGGGATTTGTCCTTATTTACAGGAGGTCCTGTGTGTAGAACGATGTCTAATGCACATTCAAAGCACTACATAATAATGATAATGATCATACATGTAGGGTATACACAGGACCCCTCATTCCTTTTTTTTTTGTAAGTGGTCCTTTCACTTCTTGAGCAATGAAGATGAAGAAGAACACAACATAAGATTAACGAAAGTCTGTTTATACGATGAATTATGGTTGATATGTATCTATTATTATCACTTTTTAATTGAAGTACCTACATTGCTTTCTCTTATGTAGGATGATGCTTCTCTACAGTGGATGATGAAAGCATGCTGATTACAAACCCAGGAGAGGAATAAAGAACAGATATTGACAGAATCATATCTAGAGATGTGGGCCTACTGCACTTCATACAAGCAAGTGTGCTAATATACCATGTAGGTACCCCCAATAAACTACTGTAGAACACATTTATCATGCAGAAAGTTATAGATCTGACAATTATATTTTTCATTGTCCATTGACTTGTAAAAGAGTATTTGACTGAATATCACAATTGTGATTTAGATTAAAACTAAAATGTCAATATACATGAAATATAAGTCTACATAACGTATGTTTCAATAGCATTATTTCCTGTACATTCTCATGTTCCAAGTTGTTTGGTCATTTTATGTAAACCGAGTACTATTCATTTATGACCACGAGTTTACATTACAAGTACATTGTACACGTACCAGTATTACTTATTTCATACTTTTCTGATCCAAGCTCCATCAGGCCTATTGTCTTAATGGGATCATCAGAAATAATCTAACATGTGGTCAGTAACTAGTCTTGTAGGAAATATATTTGCGGTTTTCCCACTAGAACCCCAAGTGAATATTAGTCCTTCCTCTTTTTGTCAGAGCAGGTATCAGGGTGTATGTTATTAGTTGTTGTTTATTTTCTTATACACTGTATCTTATTTCATTTTTCCATTCAACAGACTTGGGTTATCATCACAGCCCTTTCTTCTGAAAACTAGCCTACAAATTCATCGATGAATGCAGAAGACATCTACATGGGACTACCTCTTAAAGATGCCACCCTCATATAATGAAAGAGGACAGTAGAGATGGGTTTAAACTTGAATATTTACATACTATTTATTTATTATTTGTACTATATGTTTGTAGAATACCACATTTAAAAAAAGCTAATGAATTTATCATCTTGTCAACTTTCAAATAATTAAACTAATCATCAATGAATAAACATTAATGACATTTTAACAATGTCAACTACCATCTTATAGGATGAAACTGAGTGCTGGGCAGAAAGAAATTTCCTTGAAATTTGAGTGATAAAGATCTATCAGTCTATATCAAAGATTGAATCAATCAATGATATTTTAATTATAATTATACATGTTGAAATTCATTTACCTCAGTCTATGGACTTCTGTATTTGAAGTTTTGTAGATTATTACATTATTGCTGCTTCAAGTATTGTATGTAAGAAGGTTTGAAAGACAACCCTCTAAATGCACTAAATATGGAAACTGCTAATCATCATTGCCTGTTGTATCCAAACTGCTAATTTTAATAGAATCATGTTTTGATACTTCCTAGCTTAAGAAAACAGGGGGGGGGGGGGGGGGGCTTGTTATCCTCTTCCTGGTGCTGTTTCTAAATGGACCATGTAACAGGTTGCAAAAGTGTAAACAATATTATATTTGTTATATGTATATATTAGAAGGATTTAGAAAATGAAAACGTTTTGAATTATAGAATTACTGTTGCTAGAAGTAATGGCAGTATTGATGTGTAAGGGAAGGGGTTGGTTTTCCCAGTGAAATTAACGGTATACCAATGTCAAATTGATAACAAAGAGAAAACTATTCCTAAAAATAAAATTATAAAGGACATGGGCCTCCCAACTAACTAACCCTGGTACCACTTCTGGGTTTTTTTTTTTATGTTTTTTTTTTTTGGAGGGGGGGGGGGGGGCGCCCCAATTCAAAATTTCCAGTGTTAAATTCCATTGTCTTTAAACAAAAAATATGTCAAGATGTTGAAAAACAATGTTTCACTTTCCGTTTTCAATTCGAATAAAATTATTAACATATTTTCCGATCTCTCTGGTCTCTACATTAAAAATGTTCAAAGCTCCTGCAAAGGCTGCAAAAAGGAAAAGTGAAGATAATCCAAGTGAAATGTGGACAGTAATGGAGTGAATATGGATCAATGGTTGATCGTAGTTGATAACGAGTAAATGTAAATGAATGGTATTACGACTGAAAGTGAGACAGAAAGGAACTGCAACAGGTTGTTCAGTCAAGACAACAAACCGTTAGTTGCAGAAGATAATTTACGAAAGACAGAGAAAGAGAGAGAAAGGGAATCATTAAGGTACGATGAGAGTGGGTGGAGAAAAACCATCCTCTTTGCCACATAATTTGTTTGTATAAAATAAGGACACTTTATACATTAGCATATTTAAAATGTATAATCATAGCCAGAGAATGTGTTGTTATATGGCTTATAGCATGTTTGAGTTAATAAAACAAAAACAGACCCAGTTATTGATAGACTAAAAAGGGAATAAGATCGGATCAGTATTTCTTATTCAATGAAGTTAAGGCCACTCCCCCATATTAAAAAACAACAACAACACAACAACGAGAGGTCCACTTCCCGATGCATTCTGGGTACACCAGCTGTTATACTAATGATCGATAATACAAGTTCGAGCGCGTATTTCACCTAACGGTGATCGCATCAGAATAATCTACACTGATTCGCTGAATCACTTGCGTTGCTAGCGCGCAGCGTGATGAATAAATTACCCATAATTCCGTACAGTAGATTATTTGACCTCTCTAATTACGCTGATACGCGTATTGTCTTTTACCATGTAGTGAACATCATTCCAGTACACGTTTCGTGGGGAGCATCCTTCAGAATGCATAATTCATAGGGCTCATGAATTATGCAAGGGGGCTTATTTTGGCTTCTAATGGATCCGGACAAAATGGCGGAGCTTGGGGGGCCTGGTATAACCTATATTGCCCGCCAAATTACACACAAATCCCATTGACTCTTCTGAGCGGGGTAAAATATTTGCGCATTGGTTTTCTATATAACCTATATTGCCCGCCAAATTACACACAAAATCCCATTGACTTTTCTGCGCGGACTAACTTATTGTAATTTTGTTGACTTATCCATCAAAACCTTGAGGGCAATACCATTTAAAAATTGCCCTGCTCAGATGTCTGATACGGTTAATAATAAACCATATGAACTTCAGCAATGCTTGTTTGACCTTTTTCTCCTTCATGTGACCTAGGTCTTCGTGGGGTCATGCTAGCTGTGATGCTGGCAGCTATTGTCAGTAGCTTGACTTCATTCTTTAACAGTATCAGCACACTCTTTACCGTCGACATCTGGAACTACTTCAGAAAGAAATACTCAAAGAAAGATCCTTCCGTCAAAGAGATGATGATCGTTGGCAGGTGGGTTAACAGTTTACAAATGTTTTCCCAAATTTATATGATTTATGAGTTTTTCGACATTTCCATAGCTACACATTTCCCGAAACTCTCTTGTTTCAATGGCCCATATTCCGACACCTTCATGTTTCAGCACCCCTAGCTATACACTATAATCATTTAAAACGCTCCTGTCGTGCCTATACGTCCATAATGCTCAAATCTGAAGCCCCCAGCTGCTCCGATACTAATGTTCTTATTTCCTTATAATATAATAATTATCTTTTTTTAGCAGTGCTGTTCTTCCCGAGGGCCCTGCAATTATCACTACCCCATCATTTGCTAGGGACCCATTTACACCTGGGTTGAGAGTAGCAAATGTGGATTAATGCCTCGCTAAAGGACGTTAGTTCCTAGCAGGCTGATATTATTTCGAACCCTAAATCAGTGAAAACCAAGTGAACGAATCACTATAGGCCTATCACGACACTTCCACTTTCTTATATTTCATGTTACCTCTTAGTTGATGACTATCAGGTATTATATTCAATTCGGTTCCATAGAGTGATAGTGCTTGTCATGACGGTTCTAAGTGTGCTGTGGATACCGGCTATTGAGGTGCTGCAAGGCGGTGACGGATTGAACCGTTACTTCACCCGGATAGCCGGAAGAATTACGCCCAGTGTCTGTGCGGTGTATCTACTCGCCATCCTCTGGCCCAGAGCGAACGAACAGGTAGCGTGTATATATTAGAAAAGTAAAGAGAGTACTAGAGTAAATGTAACTGTTTCAGACGGTTCAATATGCTGTCCGTTGAGACAAAGGCGTGATGAATATGCAAATTACAAATTAAATTATTATTTTTTACGTAAAAGAATTTAGTCGAAATCTTATCTTGCCCGTCCATTTGCAGCTTTCATAAGGCTTAGCTTAGATAATCAATGTTATTGGCAAAAGTTATTCCCATTTATCACGGAGAAAAATTATACCAGAAATCCAACGTATGTCTTCATTCGTTAGCACTATTACTTTAGTTCTCAAATCGTTTTCCTTTCCCGACATTTACAGGGTACGTTCTGGGGGCTGGTCGCGGGGGCGTTCACCGGTTTCACCCGGCTTATACTGGATTTCATCTGGCCTGCACCGGTTTGTTGGGAAGAGGATAACCGGCCACATATCCTCAAGCTTCATTACTTCTACTTCAATATGATCCTGTTTGCGGTTGTGTTTACGGTTGACATAACCGTCAGCCTCCTAACCGAACCTCCCCCACCTGAAAGGGTAAATTACTTGGGTCAACCTTGATGTTGCATTTTCGAAAACTCTGTGATGAATTTGGTTTGTAATAGTAACGCAAAAGCATAGAATAAACAATAACATGAAAATAAAAAACTAAAGCATGGTGGTGTCCCCATTATGATAAGCTTCTTAGATGAGAATAATTGTTTTCTGCATGAGTAAACGAATGCTTGTTGGCTGTACTTACATGTATAGACAATCATTGTGGAATATTGGTCAGTACAAACAATAGTCAATGGGGTTGTTATGGATTTTTTTTTTAATAAGGGGAGGGGGGGGGGGTCTAGTTTGCCCCTTTTCAGGCATGACTGCCTCCTGAAATGCTTTGGTGTAAACTTGACCAATGATGTCTACTCTTCAGTCCGATACCAAATTGTTGCAGTACCACAAATCTGCCTGAAAAATAGAATGTTGGTGCTTGTGAAAAATCAGTTCTGATTACAGGTGTACCCGCATTTTTGGAGGGCAGAGTTAATAACAGGCAATGTACCATATACTGCTGAAATAAACCGCGGTATTCATTCATAAGTATATATACCTTTGTTTGTTCAGCTCATCCGGACTACATTCTGGACGCGGTTTAGCAAGGCTAAGCGATCAGATGAGGCAGAGTTCAACGATACTGAAGAGGATGACGATGAGGCGGTTGAAACTGACGACATCGAACTCGACGACAAGGAAGAGTCTACTGACATTGTGAAAGGTATCACTATGAACATGACGGACAAAGAAAGAGGACAAAATATACAGTTCCTCATTCTACCCTCAACAATTACTGTGGTAGACAAAGAAACATCCCTTCTCTGCTATTATGTAAAAATGTGTACAACAGTGAATATGCATGTGACACCTGTTCTACACATTTTTACATAATAGCAGTGAAGGGATGTTCCTTTGTCTATTATTGTTGAGGGTAGAATGAGGAACTGTATATTTTGCCCTCTTTTTTTGTCCGTCATGTTCATAGAGCAACGTCGATCTGGCGCTGCTCAGTGGCTGCCGGGCTCACGATAAATTGGGCAAAAAGAATTTCCATTTTCGGTTTAATAACATTTGGAGTGAACTTTAAAAGATTATTATTATTATGTAATCTATGCCTAAAGCTTTATACTATATACGTGGACTTTAAAAGATTATTATTATTATGTAATCTATGCCTAAAGCTTTATACTATATACTATCCTGCTTCGGTTGGATTTCGAAGAAAATGGCAATTATATTAGATATGGGGAACTAAATAAACACAACCTTCTAAATATTATGAGAAGAATACTAACATCTAGACGTATTAATCATAAAGACTGTTCAGATCCTCCATAATTACGATCTTATTTATTTGAATATTCAGATGAAATGCTGTGTAAATTCACTCAAAATCGGATCGTTCTCAGATGGTATAAGAAGTGTGCATTTGGCTTAATGCAGATTGCACATGAGACGTGTGTGTGTGTAATTGGGTTTTTACAGACGTTTATCAATCAGATATGTTTTGGGGAGACCGACCTTTAACGTCGCCATCCGAAAGACGTCAATTGAGTGGTAGCCCTTTAGAAGCAGTTATCAGTTAGTGAAGCTGTCTTTGACGCGTTTATGTGAGATTGAAACAATCATCATCGCAACGTGAATGGTGCTAAGTTAGTGCCGTAACAACGCAATCGAAAAAACGCCATTTGTGAAATAAGGCAATTATAATAATACTCGGTGTATATAGGACTAAGGTATCATTTAATATTCATTATTCAAGAAGGGCTGATGTGAAAAAATATCAGTTCACACCAAGGTAATTACCATTTGCTTGGAAAACCTGCATTTAAAGTCCCTTCTACAAATGACCCTTTTATCCAGAAAAAACAGTTCTTTTTGAAGATGCAACCCAAACCTTTGATTTTTCTTTCTTCTCATCCTTGTCCTAATCGTTTACATTCATGGAATTACGTCAGGATGATGATTACAAACAAAGTGATATTGTTTCCTTGAGTTCTCTCTATTTTAAAAACAGATCCGCCATATAAGATCTCAGAAAGGAAGAGTGGCTGCTACCGGGCTGTGACATGGTTCTGCGGCTACGGGGACGACAGCGAAGAGGGTCAGCGAAAAGCGCGCGCGGAGGAGAAACGCGTACGTAAGATTACAACGTCGATTGAGCAGGATCCACGCGCAAAGAGGTTCATCCACATCAACATGGTCATTCTCCTGGGGGTGTCCGTCTTTCTCTACACCTACTTCTCTGTCGATTGGATTTAAGATATCACATTATTTATCCTCTTTGGCTGTAGTGTATTCGTGTATGCGGAAGTCCAAACGGTTTTGTCCCATACGTCACTTCTAAGATTCCAACAACTACACTGTCGCTCATAAAGTTGGAATATTTTTTTTTACCCCGATTTATGGAATTATTTTGACAATGATTTATTCGTAATAGATCTAGATAATAGTATACATTCTCAGGTGTTATTGAATAATAATTTGCCAGTTTTTGTTTTGCGTGACTGCTAAAGCATGTGTATGCTTCTATGCTTATTAACTAGGGGACCTACGCCCTTAAGTCATAAATGACAATAATGAGGATTAATGCCCCACAAAAGGGCACTAATGTAGCACATCGACACGGTTTTGATCCTGAGGCCTCACACTTACGAGGCCATTGCTTTGCCACTGAACCACGACTGTATGTGGCGGGGGGTGTTATTTTTTTCTGCGGCACAGATTGGGGTTAGGTGCGTGTTGAGCCAAGGGAAAGTTTAGGGTTAGGGTTAGGGTTAGGGTTAAATCAAGACCTCTTTTTAAAAAAAAAAACCCAAATCTGTGCCGCAGAAAAAAATGACGCCGTCGGGGGCTAGGGTAGGGGGCAGTTCCTACAAATAAAAAACAAAGAAAATGCAATAAATTATCAATAATTCATTGAATTTCCCCCGGTTCCCAACATACAAAAATATTCTGTGTTCCCATTCCTTGAGCCATAATGCATGGCCGTACAGAGGATTTTGATATGTTGGGAACCGGGGTAAAATGCAATGAATTATTGATAATTTATTGCATTTTCTTTGTTTTTTATGTGTGGGAACTGCCCCCTACCCCCTATGATCTGTTATATGAAGGAAAAATGTACATCATGGATAGTTTGAGATTTTTCTATGTTCATTGTTCAATGATTGATGTAATTTATGAAGTGTCTTGTATCGAAGATCTTGTTCTGTATGACGTATTGTGATAATTTCTTGTAATGTGAATTCATGAGGAAGGAAATAAAATATCATTTAAAACCAAAAACTGTTTTGAGTTTGTTGGCCAGCAATCATGGCAAATGAACTACGACCTATGCTGAATATTCATGAGAGCAGTGCTCGTATGGTATGCGAACGTTGGTCTTAAAGATATAGACCAGTTTTGGAAACGCCCCCCCCCCCCTCCCAAAAATAAAAATGTAAGCTCTTGTTACCGATCATGTGAAAGAATATGTTTGACTAATACGTGATGATACAAATTTTGCCGGGAAACCGCCTACTAATTGATATAATTATTTGGTAAATTATCATATCTATCCGGCCTGGATATATATCGCGTAGTCCCATATACATCTTTCTGTGTACAGTGCTTGCAACTTAACCAAGACTGGGCCAAATTTCCTATCAGTTTTATGATTCCAGAACCTTGCAGTACACACCAATACTTATATGCCAGATGATCAACCTTTTCTGATTGATTCCACAACGTTTCTTTCACAATGCAATCGCATGACCAGAACTGGTCTTTATCTTCAAAGTGAAGGTTTAGTTATAGTACAATGCGACAAATAATTTGGTAGCATTCTCATTCTTTTTATGACAGTTTTAAAAAAATAGTCAAAGAAAATGATCGCTCTTGGTGCTCTGATATTGGAAATATGACAATAAATAGATGAACTTTGGACCAAACATTGTGTCATACGCGCAGTCCCATTTGCGGAAAGATTTAGTCAAATTATTTATTATTTTAACGATTCCAAAACCTCACAGTATACAACTATGCTTATGTACTACATAATCAACGTTTTACCATTGTTTCAACACAGTTAATGTAATCGCTTGACCAGGGCTTGTCTTATAACAAGTTGCGATTGATCCGAATCAACCGAAAGTGCTCTAATCAATTATCGCAAGTTTGCAGTCTCCTATCTCTTAAAAGTAATACAAAGTTTTGGTATGGGGTCATGAATTTGGTTCAAATGAACATATTGGAAGCAGGCGCGTACAAAGGGGGGGGGGGGGGGGGGGGGGTTAAACCCCCATTTGGTATTTTTCTATGTGTAACCCCCCCCCCATAACCCCCTACCCCCCCCCCCTTTGGATTGATTTTTTCCCATGGCTGACCTAAAAAAGCTGACCTTACCCCCCCCCCCCCCCAACGGAGCAAAATGTCAAATTTTCAAATTTCGAGACCCCTCCCCCCCCCCAAAAAAAAAAAGGGTCCTCTTACCCCCCCCCCCCCTTGAAAAAATCCAGCGTACGCGCCTGCCATCATATCATCCATGCATGGAGAATTCATCATCCTACGGTAATATCTTCACTTCTGAGTCGTAATGCTTAAACGTTCAAAGTTTATTCACTCGATACAAACAAGGATGAACGTGTACATTATTCAATTATACAGTGAAATCAAACAAAACAAAACGATACTATTATACAAAAAGGCATTTAAAATGTTAAAATTATATAAATACAGAGTAGGGAATAGAGTAGGGTCCTAGCAAAAAGGAGAAGGGAGGGAAAACAAAATTTGAGATAAGTCATGGTGCTTTTCTAGAAAATGGTTAAATGACTAGAGTATGTAAAGGGCCACACACATAACCCCATTACAATACTTCAATCGTTGGTAAGAGGACATGTGTTTAACAGTAATTATATGTATATATATACCTGCGTTTAAAAGTATTAAATGATGAACAGTTTTGTTTAAGGTAGTAGGAAGAGAATTCCATAGTTTGGGGCCTGAAGCGAACGAGCGGAGTAAAAAAAAAAAAAAAAAAAAAAAACGTATAAAAAGATGTTTTGGGGTACCTTGCTGTAAGAGAGATAAATGAATTATGGCACCTCGATCGTTACCTCTTATGTGGGATTGATACTGCTTCTAAATGTTGCAAGCGAGCGAGGAAACAAAAAGTCACTCGATTGTTTTTAAAATGTTATTTCTTCATGAAAATACGTAGCGTTTTCATATATATTTTTTTTTACACGAAATTGACATTTTTCGTTCTATCAATCCCTATGTTATTCATTGTTTTTACCCCGTTTATCTACGTTATTTCCGCTTTAATCATTTGACCGTTTTCTCCTGCCTTTTTTTTTTTTTTTTTTTTTTTTTTTTTTTTACTCCTTTAGACCTAATCTTTCCTCCTTTCATTACCCTTGCATTTCTTCATTCTCTTCTTATATATTCCTTCCTATCTTAAATGTTATTAGCTAGTTTTATCTTTCACGTTTATATTTCCTTATGATATACAGTGTATTAAAATGTTATCTTTTCTTTTATCATTTTCCAAGTATTTCCCTTTTTAAAAATCTATTATCTTCTCGCTCTTTCCCAATGTTTTTCTTTGTTTTGATCCTTCCATCAATTTCTCTTCCTATCTTTCCTTATTATATGTTATTCTTTGATTTTATCCTATCATCGTTTCTCTCTCTCTCTCTCTCCCCCTCTCTCTATCTCTCTCTCTCTCTGTGTTTTCCTCTATATCTTAACATTCATTTTTATCCTTCCACCATTTCTCTTTCTACCTTTCCTTATGATAATCATTATATTTCTCAAAATATCCTCATGACCTCAACTTCCGAACAGTACAAATCTGATTCCAACCCTGAAAGAATTTATTCATCATATCATTAATTTAGCAAATTGGCCATTTTAAGATGCAAGAGGCTATCATGATATGTCTTTATCCATTACTGTAGGACTAAAGATACAATACATTTTGGAACTTATAGCCGATTTTATTATCTCAATAAATATAAAAAATACAATGGTGAACCTCAAGTTAATCTCTTTACACCAAACTTACTGGTATTTAATTTTCAATGATTGATTGCTTTACAATTAATGCTAAACATCCTCATGACTTCAGCTACCCGAACAAGTTTTAGTCTTTGATTGTGTTTTAATAAAATAAATTCAAATTTTACAAAAAGTATTAATTTCTAAATTCTTTTTTTCAAACTCATGATTTTCATAGTTACATGTACATGTAATTCATTGCACGAATTACCCAACATATCCACAAATCTGTCTTAACAAAAAGTGGTCCCACTTCATGCATTTTAGAATAATTAATCCAAAAGTGAGGGACTCAAGGAGTTCCTTTTGTTACCCTTTTGAGGAGAGAAATACTCCCACCTAAATGTCCACCCTGATATTAGGTTGATTTTAATAAAAGCAGAACAATTAGAGACACAAATTAGTGAAAGTTTGACTAATATCCGATTAAAATTAAGGAAAGTTAAGAATTTGTTTGTGTGACGTAGCTTGCAAGCTCTTCACAAACTTTCATTACAGTGTATTTTAGTCATTGATGACGGAATAGATATGTTTCATATAGGGGTGGTATAAAAACATACATGTATCTGCAATAATTATATTTAGGATAGGATTGAAAACTTTCTTGAGCAAATGGAGGGGAAGCTTGTAAGATACGTCACAGAATTGTCAATTTGAGTCTGATTGATCACAACTTCATACATTTCATAACTTTCTTATTTCTAATCAGAATTTTCTCAAACTTACATTGACCTGTTCCTATCATTTGTTCGCTTGTATTGAAACCAACTTCATATCAGGGTGGACTTCCCCTTCAAATGAATGATTGAGTAGCTTTAGTGACCCCTCATCCAATATGTATGTATAACCTGTGTCTGCTCATGGGCAGAAAACAAGCATGACCCTCCTTAAAGGTAATACAAAGTTTTGGTATGGGGTCATGAATTTGGTTCAAATGAACATATTGGAAGCATATGCGATCCTACAATATTCAATGATCGTTGTCTCAGTTGAAATCGAGTCTAAAGTTATAAAAAATTAAAAAGTTATAAAATTGTAAATAATAAACTCTTTAAGTTGTATAGCTCCCTCTCAAGGTCTAGATATTAATTAAGCCATAAAACAATGTTTTTTGACTGAAGTCGACCGATTTGCTATTCCCGTTTGGAAACTATATATCACAACTATATACTCTGAGATTTTCATGGTCGCAGCTATGTACCAATGAACGGCCTTAG